ATAAAATACACCTAAAAAATAAAAAAATTGTAAAAAAAAATCTTTTAAAAATTCATTAAATACCAAAAATACAAAAAAAATACAAGAATTCGGTACATTTTTTTTATTTTTATGTATTTATTAATTTTTTAAAATATTTTTTCACAAATTTTTTACTTTTTAGATACATCTAAGTAAGGTGCATCTAAAAAAGTAAAAAAAAATGTTTAAAATTTAGAAAATATTCACTAAAAACAAAAAAACACAAAAACTAAAAAAGTCAATTTTTAAAAAACTTAATTCAAAAAACTCAAACCAAACACAGTGAATATTTTCAACATTTCATCTTTTTAAATTTTTATCAAATTATAATTTGATAAAAAAATATATTAAGGATTGAAGATTATCTTAATTAGAATTATAGTAAAATAATATCTTGAAATAGTCAATGCTTGAGTATCTGGTTGGTTGAAATATATAATTTAATTAATTCTCTTCTCATATTTATATAAAAATTGACTCTTATGATTACATCATTATAAGTTGGATTATGAAAGAAATTTGAGGTGTCAAACATTTTCCATTTGTAAATATCCTACATATTAAAAAATGAAAAAAAAATGTGTAGCTTTTTGATATGTGTTTATCAGTTTTGTTTTATGGACATAAAAATTGATGTTTTAATTTAAAAAATTAAAAAGTAAAAAAAAAAATAAAAAAATAGATTGGATTTCTTAGGATAAAAAAAATCTAACTCTTCTATATACGATTAAGATCGACTATTTTAATCACATAAAAAAATAAAAATTATATTTAGAGATTATTCATATATATTATGCTATTATATATAACTATAGTTGTAACAAATTAACTATAATATATATATGAAAAATTATATTAAGTTTTCATTTTCAATTAATTGAATTCTAATTAACAAACTAACAAATAGCCGGAATGGTCTAATCGGATAGAAATGGGATAAAAATAAAAAAGCACAATGATATTTAAAAGTTTTAAATTTACCTAGTTATACAAAAATCTAATATTATAGTAAAATTTTGAATTCTCAATAAATTTTCACATTTTTTATAAAATAAAATGCCAATAAAAAAAAAAAATTGATACCCATTTTTTTTTACTTCAATTTTATGATTTTCGCTGCAGAAAACAAAATCTGATCAAAATCTTTAGCATGGAACGGACATAGATATTTAGATTGCAACCATAATCACCGATAATTCTTCCCTACGATGCAAACCTATAAATAAATACATAAACCTCATTAAAACCGAAATCAAAACCAAAACCAAACCAACAGTAGAGAAATAGAATCACACAAGTAAAAAATAAAATTTAAAAATAAATAAATTTATAAAGTGGGAGAATGTTACCTCCAACAATTTAAACCTCACCTAACCTAATCCCTTAGCTCTTCTGTTAGTGCCTGCAAAGTTTTTGAGTTGTGATGAGTAATCAGATTATTCTTTAAATAAGACTTAAAAATTAATTAATTTGTCTCACTAAGTGATTTAAAATTTTGATATATATACATCAGAAAAATAGATAATTATATTACTAAATCATAATTCAAATTTAGATATTGTTATATTTTTTTTAGATCCATATCTAAATTCTTATTTTTTTAAAAAAAAAATATTTTTGTGTGGTTTCTATTTGGGTTTTTTTTTTAATTTATTTAAGATGGAGTTGTGGGTTTCTATTTTTTTAAAAATTTAATTTATCTGTGATTTCTATTTGTTTTTAATTATTATTATTTAGGTAAGTTATGATGTGAATTAGATATGTGATAGACATGTGAGTTTTATTGATTTAAAGTATAATGATGGAAGATATTTCCAAATTAGATTTGTTTAGATAAATTGTAAAGATTTTTAAAATTGAAAATTGGATATTGAGATGCAAAAGAAATATTTTAACTGGATAAATAAAAATCAAATTTATTAATTTTATTTATTTGTATATCTGATTTTTAGTTTTTTATTTTATTTTATTTTTATGTTATAATATAATATATAAGATATAGATAGATATCTACAACTTTTATGAACAATATTATCTTATTTTTTGGGGAAGAGAGAAGGAAGACAAGTTTTAATACTTTTTTTTTTGGGAAATCAGTGAGAGAGATTAGGGGGGAGAAATTATAAAATATTTTTGTTATTAAATAAATAAATAAGTCAATAGTTTTTTTAATTTATTTTATAAATTAAAAAATTAATAATTTTAGAAAATTGATTAATTTGTCTCATTAAATGATTTAAAATTTTGATAGATATACATCAAAAAAATAAATAATTATGTTACTAAATCATAATTTTAATTTAGATGTTGTTATATCTCTTTAAGATCTATAGATAAATTCTTATCTTCTTTATTTTTGTGTGTAATCATAGTGTATTGGAGAAATTGAAAAGCATGCTGCAGTAATTATGAGATAAGTCAAAAAAGTTTGTGAGTTGAGAGAAATTAATAAATGCTGAATCTTTTTTTTTAAAACAAAAAATTAAGAAATTAAGATCAAAATATTAAAACTCTCACAAAACTTATAGATTAGAAAACTCATTTCCCTTATATAATAGGGTTGTTTGGGGTGTTATAAATAAGTGTACTTTTTGTCCATTTGAATTAAAAAGTTGAGGAAAAAAATATGGATGTTTGTATTAATTTTTTGTGAAAAAATTTGTAATAAAAAATTGTATAAATAAAATGTATAATGGAAAAAAGATGGGTGGTTGTACCGCTGCACTACTGCCCCAGTATGCCTTACCCAGAAAATAATTGCCTCTTTCGGAGTAAAATATTTAGACAATGATGGTCGGTCCGTGGGAGCCATCATGGGTCTCATTTTAATAATTTGGACCGTTAATATGTACAACTGGTCGAGTATTATATGCCTGTAAAAAATCACGTTGATTAGATATCGATAGCTATATGATCGGATTAGTTTTTTTCAACAGTTAACTATCACACCATCCGTTTTGTTAATACAAAACTAATTTGATCATATAATTAACGATATCCGATCAACGTGATTTTTTATAGGCATATATTACTCGACGATTTTTACATATTGAACGGTTCAGATTATCAAAACATAATCCTTAGTGGGCCTCCAAAGGCCCAACATTATCATCAAACTTTTTGACTTTACATATGTAATTTTTTTTAACCAAAAAAAGTGTATCAAATTTTTGTATTATAAAAATAGATAAAATATTTTTTTAATATTTTTTATTTATAAATAATAATAACTTTTTTTTTTATGTAATTTTTTAACATTTTAAATTATTTTATACTTGTCAAACCTAACCTTATTTGTTTATCTCCAATGAAATAAACTACTAGCAAAAATATAAGTACTCGTCCTCAAACAAACAAAATAACAAAAAATGTGCAGGTAATGGTTCGTTAACGAACTAGGATCATCATTCTAAAGTAGGAAAGGATGCTCACCAATAATTGTACCAACTTTGCCCCACCAAAAATAAAAACAATATTGTACCAACTCTGCAACTGAACAGAATGTTCTATATATAGGACTATATTTTTTTCATCATGTAATATGTATTGAAAAATTTGTATTATATAAATTTTTATACAAAA